AAGAAATTCGCACCCATATGATCTCCACCATCTAAATATTAAATAGCCATCCTGAATTCTAATAGTATAATCATGCGTTATGTAGAAAATATCTCGAAACATAATTTTACCAGAAAGTGCATTTAATGTAAATGATCCTATAATGAGAGTTAACGATATAGGACTTTAGTGTAAATTAGCCAGAAACACCACCCACCTATATTAAAAGATCCGCCTCGAATAAAAAATTTATTCATTATTTTTGTAATAATATATCCTGCTACTCTAGAATTGTAGTAAGTTATGTATATGACCCATAATATTGCAGAAACTAAACTACACAACAACCAAGCAAAGTTGGAATCCATTTTCAAATTTTCCAAGTTTTCTTGGTGAGAAATATTCCAAGGTGAAGCAGAGAAACCCATTTTGCACTTATTTTTTTAAGAAGTATAGGTTTTTGATTAGAAACAGCACACCCTTTTTTTTTTAAACCTCTGTTTTTCGATGGAAAATACAAATATAAATTAGCACAGCTCTACATTTCGCATCGAGGGTATAAAAAACTACCCATTTAGTTTTTATATGATTAGCATCACTGATCATTTACAAACTCTTTTTTACAATATTAATTTAAAGGGAAGAATAGCTTTTGTTTTTATTTATCGACTAAACGTCAGATTGACAAATACCAAACACTGTGAGGTTATTACGGAGGTGTTTACAGCACCATTATTTAGTATGCCCTTAAAACCGTAATATTTTTTAAATAATGAATTTTGCTGCAGATATTGTGAGTTATTAGTTCTTGTTATTAGAGTGTATATGAAATTGTAACGTGACTTAATGTTAAATAGTTTTGTAGGTGATCATTGTAGGCGGTGAGTTACAAAAAGCATGACCGCGAATTTTATTTTCTTGTGTAAGAATTATGAACTTAATAATTTATTCTTTTTCAAACAGTAGTAACAAAATTTTCAATATCTTGGTGTACCATGTTATTTTTCCAAAATCGTGCGTTTTTATTCAAGTCATTTACATATACGCTGTAATAGTTTCATAATTATTTCTTTTATCATTTTTAATTTGCAACCTAACCCTATTTATAGTACGCAAAGGTGGAAATTCGCTAGAAATTGTTCTACCACCTCATTTAGCGTACTCGAATATATAGGTATATATTCATAATTCTTACAGTGATACTTTTAGTTGATACTGAGAAAGAAATCGTAAGGGTATTGTTAATATTTATGTTGCCGTTTTCTTAATTTTTCGTGTGTGGTGATTATGATTGCTAGTGTACGGATATCAACAAGTGTTTCTTTTTGATGGCGTATATAACACCTAGATCAGTAAGTCTTTTTTTGCTTTTATTTCATTGTTTGCGAAAATATCAGATTTTATTATTAAGCCCTGCGTAGGTGCATACCTATTGACTTCATGGCGCAAAAAGTATTAAACATTTTAATAGGGTTTTGAGCTTTCTAACCAATTAATGGCATGCTCATTTGTTCAATCTTAATGCAACTTCGTATATTTTTTAAAGTATCTACTACTTTCGCCTTCAATCAATTCTACAATTTTTTGGGAATTATAATTACGTAGAATGAATGCAAATACTTAATAGAACTTCATAAACTTATTGAATGACGGTAGTGTATTTTTTTATATGTATTGAGGCATTTATTCGTTCTTTATATAAATCAAATTGAATTCTGCTTTGGACTGTACCGCGCACCAGTGTTGCCATGTTGTTTGTTTTTCTTCTGCAACTATAGCTTTAACTTTGAGAAATTAGATCAAAACGAAAAGTTTCCTGACAACTGTTTTCTGCTGTTTAGACTAATGACTGAGAAAAAGAAATATTCAATTGAAAAAGGTGCTACCTTACTTGTTATGAAACGCAGAGTAAAAAAATATTGTTCTACGGATTTTCGAAAACATATGGTACCTGTATTGTAAAACCCCCCACTTTTTATCTTTTCTTAAATATTTAGTATTTCTTCTTGTCGATAACTTCCATTTGAAATATTTTAATAATCGATACAGTTGCGAAATATTTAAATAATATTGCTTATATATGTCCCTATGCATTGTTTACGTAAATTTATTATTCCATAAATTTACTAGATCTAGGTACAATACATTGTTTTAGCTATAAAATTTGATGTTTTATCAGTATTTTTAATGATAAGATCATTTGGCAGCGTGGCAATTTAAACGCGATACTTTTTTGGTGACTGTTGATTGACCGCTCAGTATTTATGTAGTTATTAGTGTGAGAGGTAGTGAATTATTGCAGTCTTTGGCGTTAACATTATACAAAGTAAGAATTACAAATTAAACAATTAACATTTTAGTTATATTTGCTACAATTAAATAACCTCTTTTAATTATTGGCAATTTCTATATCGAATTTAAAGTTTGTTGCTGGGAATATTTGAAAATTATAGTTTTGTTTCTATCCGGCCTATGGATTTTTTTTGAAGTGTAATTTTTTATTAAAATGGCAACACTAGCAACATAAATTCATAATTAGTCANAACATGCACCAAAATGGTGTTCGAATGTAATTTTTACTGAAATCTTTTTATCATTACTTAGTAATAAAAAATATTTGTTGGTGCCCAATTTACGTACAATTAATAAATTTTGTTAAATGTTTACAAAACTCCAATTATCTTCAAAGTATGGGACACACATAATAATGGATATGTAGGTATCTATATTAAATACAAAAAATTGTTGAATACTTACAGATGAGACATCCATTTTAATAACAGGTATTAAGTCTCTCCATGTTCTAGCCATAGCTGCTTCAGACCTTTGTTTCCTTGAAGCAATTTGTCGTTCTGTTTCATTTCCAGCTCTGTTTTTTTACATAAAAACTAATTAATTACTATAAGAAGCATATATTTAGTAGTGCATTTGTGGTTCAAAATATAGTCAGTTAAATTAAGATACAAGCAACGACACAAAAGATATACATAAAAAATATACTTCGTATTTCCTGGAGAAGTATCTTTATCAGGTCCACCATAATCAGGAAATAGACCGGGTTCCAAGCCAAATATTTTTTCCAAGCGTGCATAAATATCTGATCTGTTATAAACATGCAGCTCAAATCCATTTAAAACCACTGATAAACGTGTATCAGAATGAGATAAATCTAGGTATATGAATAATTGTTATTTGTATAAATTACACAGTATCATAGATTTTCAGTTTCTCACCTTCACTGACATCTTTAGGAACATATGATCTCCACCATCTAAATATTAAATAGCCATCCTGAATTCTAATAGTATAATCATGCGTTATGTAGAAAATATCTCGAAACATAATTTTACCAGAAAGTGCATTTAATGTGAATGATCCTATAATGAGAGTTAACGATATAGGACTTTAGTGTAAATTAGCCAGAAACACCACCCACCTATATTAAAATATCCGCCTCGAATAAAAAATTTATTCATTATTTTTGTAATAATATATCCTGCTACTCTAGAATTGTAGTAAGTTATGTATATGACCCATAATATTGCAGAAACTAAACTACACAACAACCAAGCAAAGTTGGAATCCATTTTCAAATTTTCCAAGTTTTCTTGGTGAGAAATATTCCAAGGTGAAGCAGAGAAACCCATTTTGCACTTATTTTTTTAAGAAGTATAGGTTTTTGATTAGAAACAGCACACCCTTTTCTTTTAAAACCTTTGTTTTTCGATGGAAAATACAAATATAAATTAGCACAGCTCTACATTTCGCATCGAGGGTATAAAAAACTACCCATTTAGTTTTTATATGATTAGCATCACTGATCATTTACAAACTCTTTTTTACAATATTAATTTAAAGGGAAGAATAGCTTTTGTTTTTATTTATCGACTAAACGTCAGATTGACAAATACCAAACACTGTGAGGTTATTACGGAGGTGTTTACAGCACCATTATTTAGTATGCCCTTAAAACCGTAATATTTTTTAAATAATGAGTTTTTCTGCAGATATTGTGAGTTATTAGTTCTTGTTATTAGAGTGTATATGAAATGATTACGTGACTTAATGTTAAATAATATTTACTTTTCATGTAGTCGTGCACTGGTTCGTTTCTATAAACACATTATTGAGTTTGCGACATAGGAGACACCATAATCCGAAGGTCGATTTTGTTAAAAAAAATAAATGTTTAAAAATGTCAGGTTATAAGAGAGTAAATTTTTATGAATTATGCCGGCTATGTGCTACAAATCAACAAAAAGAAAAAACGCATATATTTCACGAGCAAGGAAGGAAAATACAATTACAAAATAAAATACAAAGTTGCCTCTCTTTAAAGGTTTGTTAACACAAGTGGTTGTTTACTACAAGTTGAACGTTTTTGCACGTTTGTAGGTCTGTGAAAACGATTTCCTACCAAAAGTAGTATGTTCACAATGTTTAAATACCTTGGAAGAATGTTACACATTTAAAAAAGAATGTCAAACCTCAGAAACTATGCTTTCAAGTTACTTTAATAACTTTAGGTATACAGAGGATTTTAAGAAGTCTGGGAAGGTATTCAATGTATTAACAATAGTTAATATGGAAATGTTAACTCCTTTATTTCAGGTTTATATCAAAGACACAAGTTCAAAACCTAATCCTATCATAACACCATCTACATTAATAACAACAGTAACAACTAGTCCTAATTCTTCTATATCTACTACACAAAGTGAATCATTATATGGAAGTTCAAATTTTGTTAATGTTGTTGACAATTCACCCCAAGACATTTCTTATGTCCATGTTCCAAACAATGTAACATCAAATGCCAATTCAAAATGTACACTCAAGTCAGATACGTTACATTCAAAAGTCATTCAAACAGCTACTAGTCAACCACAAGTTGCTTATAATTTAAATGCTGTAAATATAGAACTACTCAAAAGTTTCCTTCAAAATTCTGCAAAAAATGACACAGTGGCTAATGTGACTGTTAATGCAAACGGTGAGATAATAGGTATTGGTCCAATAGTGAATTTTGATGCACTTTTGGCACAAAGTAATGCCCTTTTATCACAAAACAACACTCAAAAACTCCAGAGGAATGTAGAACCATCAAATAAGCCAATAATTCATGGAAGAAAGAGATCAAAGAATCTAGATTCACATCAGAAAAGGCCTGACAATAGTTATTTAGAAGATTCCATTATTAAAATAGACTTAACTGAAAGTGAACCTCAACATTTGGCAACCTGTGGAGAGCCCAAATCAAGTACGCAGCTAAATAAAATTGCCTATACATATAAAGCAAATGATAGTTACAAAAATTCCACAAATGCAGTAATTTCTGTACCTGACCTAAATCCTACACAACTTGTTCAGAAGTTCATCAATTCTAGTCATATACCTCAGGTAAATAAGTTGCCCGAAAATGAACCTAATCAACAAGTTTTCTCAACCAATTCAAACATTGGTTATGCTTCTCATATCAACACTAGCAGTATTAATGTAATGTCGAACATCAGCTTGCAAAATGTAAATTTAAATGCCATAAACATTCCTTCGAGTTTAAGTTCAAACAATTTAAACTTCAGCTCGAATCTTACAAACATGAACGCAAACACAAATGCGAGTTACAACCACAATATCAATCAGCAATCTTCCACTAACAATTTAGGACAAAACATTACAAATACCTCCGTTAACATGCACCAAAATGGTATATCTAAAGTTCAAAATGTTGTTCATCGTAAAAGTTACAGTATGAATTCAACAGCACCAAATAGTAATGGTTTGATTAACAATTTAGATCTTAATGCACATATAGATTCTGCTACTTTGGAAAAGGGTGCTTTTGCACCTGCTATGAACATTCTAAATATGAATTTAACTTCAGCCAATGCCAATCTACTGAATAACTTAAGTTTGGCTGGTATGAACAGCCTCTCAAACATATCAAATACAAACTTAAACGTTAAGTCAGAAGAAGAAATTCGCACCAGTACCAGTAATTCATCTGTGCATAATATGACTAATAGTATACCATCTATTATCCATAATACCACGTCAAACGCAAATATGAAAAATCAAAATTTGGCCATGAACCATTCTAAAGTGAATGGCATTTCATCCACAAATGTCATCCATATGGGTAATCAAACTGTAAGCACCCCCATTGAAAATGTCAACAATTCATTAGACTTGGGTACAAATAGTGTGGTGACTTCAGCGAACAACCAGTCGAATATAAGTGGAGCTAATTTAACTCCACCCACATCAACATCAGTTATGACAACAGTACAGAATGATAACTTAGTGAAAAGTCACACTTGTGAAATTTGTAAAAAAACTTTTAAAAGGAAAGAGCATTTATTTCAGCATGTAAAATTGCATACAGGTTTTCGACCGTTTCGATGCGATAAATGCAATAAATGTTTCATGCGAAAAGAGCACCTGTTACGACACATGACAGCACACAGTGGCGCAAAAAATTTCACATGCGATATATGCGATAAATGCTTTTCTAGAAATGACAATTTACTGAAACATAAAAAAACACACGAAAAACAGTCGAAATTTACTTGTCAGGTTTGCCAAAAACATTTTGTAATGAAACACTACTATCTGGCCCACAAACTCACCCATGAAACAGACAGATGTAATCTTAATCAGTTATGGGGGGTCCTAAAGGCTTAACTTTAGAAGTATCAGACAAATTATTTAGCAGTTACAACCCCAAAGTTTATTTTTCTATGTATGATGATTGTGTTTATTTTATATATTACCTATTTTAGATTACTATTCAAAATCGTATCTAGTGTTTATAACGTACTAAGCATTTCACTTTAATAAATTTGGTAGGACACTTTCGTATTTGGGGCCACGCTTAGCAAGGGGTGTGATACCTCGATGAAAGCCTAACAACACTCGTTGATATTACATATATCTCCATCATTATTTATTGTATGGCATTAGTTAGTGTGGTAAATAGCCAGTTAGATTTGCGATTCGATCACGGGACCTATAACTTTACATACAAGGCGCTACTGAACTGTGATGGAAGTTAGGTCAATATTGCTATTCTTGCTATTCTAAGTTAATTTAAGTCATTTCATGCTCTGTATTATTGACCATTAAACAATTTTCACGTACATTTTCTACAATAAAGGGGTAACACTTTTTGCATAAAACTTTTTAATCAGCGCTTTCTTTTATGACCAACCTTTACATTTGTGTTTCTATACTCATGAAACCGTTGGGGGGGGGGGGTAGTATACAGAAAACCTCCACGAGGTGTCAGTTATGTTAGTGTGCGCCGCCCCAAATACTAATATTCTGCCAAATTTTGATTTAGCATGGATAATATTTATCTATTTACACAAACATATATTTATATTAATCAGTTTGAAGAAACATTAAACAAGTTATAGCGAAACGAATAACAATAATTTCAAAAATTACATCAGCAAGTTCAGTAGTTCGTGTGAATTTATTGTAGAGTGTTAAAAGTAGCACTCTATAAGTTTTCCTGTAAATAGCAGAAACCGAACAGGAGATCTTATATTTTTGTTTTATTGAACTGAATTAGTCCATTTACATCAGCTAGTTAAAATGTAAACTGTCCTATCTCTTCATCTTAGTTGTAAACCAAAGAAACGATTGAGAAAAGCTTTTAGTGTGATCGTTGTCTTATCAAAAGCTTACAATTTGTTAAAGCAGAATATAATGTAAATATAACAGTTTGTATTTTAACTGGCTGCTGACTGATCAATGAGAATTATCTATAATAGAATGAGTCAGAACCACTAGAGATGTACTTTAAATATAAAAGTGTTAGAGGTCAAATATGTATATTTGTTGTTTTTTTTGTTAATGTTATTTTTGTTTATTTTTTGACATTTAAGAACTATTTATCAGTATTATATCCAGAATATACAAGATATTTTTCTAGTTATTATTTTTTCATGTATTCATTCATGGTCTTAACATTCAAAAAGTGTTTATTATTATGTACACACAAGTACAGTAAATTTTATCAGATTTAAACTATTTGGGAACTGGTTTTCAAAATTTCCTTTATTGTTGACTTTAATCAATGAAAAATCGGGATTCAAGGTTCAACTGGGTAATAATGTATCATGTATTAATAATTGTTAAACCAAAGTAGGTGAAATGAATATTTTGAGAGTATAACGTATTTCTTGAGCCTGTAAATACGACATTTATAAAATAAAAGCGATATTAAAAATGAATCATTTTTAATGCAAAAAACTGAACAAAAGCAATTTTCGTAGCTTGGCTAGAGTTTCCTATTAATTTGAACACATCAAGTTACATACTTGAATCATCACGCTCACTCGTTCTTGTTAGTCAAATTTCTCAAAGACTAGAAGATCCCACATCCCTATTTGTCAACAGGAGTCTAAACCAGGTCTTTCTTTGTCCTTTTTTACTCCTGTTAATACTTTTATTATCTATAACTAGCCTTTCATGTCTAAGAAGGTGTCCCACTATCCTGTCTTTCCTTAACGACTTCATGAATCTTTTTCAAATTTCCAAATTAATCGTTCGCGAGTACAAGTGTTTTCTCGACCCTTCGCTAATGTTTGTTTTGTTTCTATCACTTTTTCTATTGTGAATTTCTCTCAGTTTATGGACCCGTTTAGAATTGAAAGTATTAAAAAAAAAACAAAAATTGGCAATTCTACAATTATGGTAGATGGATGAACTCTGAAGTTTCTCTACAAGGGCTTCTTTTTACAATTTTGTAACCAACTCTAAAAAGGTATTTACATCATGATGTATAGAAGTACATTAAAATTGTTTTATTAGTCAATAATATATAACTAGAATACAGTAATAAAATAGAATATATAATATTAAAAACGAATGACCTCTATATTTGTACTATTAACATATTTTGGGTAATATTTCGCCACATTTTGCTGATATTCTTAGATGAGCACAATGATCTGCTCTGGTTGGACCAATATTAACTATAGCAATGTTTTTCTTTTCTTCTGCAGCCTGCAGAACTATTCTGTATGACGAATATACTGATAAACTAGAGCCCAGTACTAACAAAGAATCGGAGTTTGTTACAGCTTGTGTTACTTTCATAACTCTTTCTCTAGGAACATTATCACCAAAGTAAACCACATCTGGTTTTAAAATGCCACCGCACTCTTCACACTGTGGTGCTAAAAATTGTTTTATTTGATCCTAAAAACAAATAGCAAAATTGCATTTAATGTCGGTTTTCATAATATTGCAATTTTCAAATCTTCCAAGATGTAAATATTGTAGAAAAATTAACAAGTGCAAATATAAAGCATTTGTTAACTATTATTTTTATTTAAATGTCTGATCAATTTTATGTAATTAAATGAGGTTTCACTGGTTCATACATTATGATATTTTATATATATATATTCATGAAACCACTAAATGACAAAAACATTTTAATATTAATTAAAAATAGATGTAATACAGTTTTTGTTCAATTTTCCTTTAAATTACATTTACTAAAAGATTGGGTCATATACATACTTGGAAGAAATAACAGCTTACCTCTGAGATATCAACATCTCCATCAGGTCTGACCATAGTTGCAAATTCTCTGATGTTAGGGTTTAATTTTTTCATTTGCTCTTGAATTTTAAATCTGCAGTATTTTTTATGGCAACTTAAACATATTACTTCATAAAGCGTCCCATGAAGTTCTACAACATTAATGCTGCCAGCTTTGGTGTGAAGCCTATCAACATTTTGTGTTATTATAACATCAATTTTATAATGGTCAAGTTCTAGATTACGAAGTGAAATATGTGTAGCATTTGGTTGACAATAAGAAAATCTATCCCATCCTATGTAGCTTCTTGCCCAATAACGTTTTCGACCATAGGCAGAAGTCAAAAATTCCTGATAAGTCATAGGCTTGTGATTTGATCTGGCATATAATCCCACTTCTTCTGATCTGTAATCCGGAATTCCTACTTATAAATAATATAATAATTATAAACAACTGTTATTAAAGAAAATCATCTTTTGCTAATATCGTACCAGATTCTGTTGAAATCCCAGCTCCTGTTAATACAAGCAACTTGCTAGAATTTACAATAAAGTCTTCCAAACGTTTAATATCACATTTTTCTAATGGGGGGTGTTTAGGTACAAATTTATATACATTTGAACTGTATTTTCGATGTAAATATACGAGAAATTTTAGAAATAGGTGGTTGTTTTGGATCATAACTTTGGTAATCATGATTTTCCAATATTTACTATTTCATTAAATTAAAACTGATTAAGTCTTATATAGGTTATATTAATAATTATATTGTATTTTGACATTGCTGTCCTTGACCATAGATAGTTCGCGATAGCCAAAATGGAGGCGTCTTGGCTAGTTTGTGATTTTGATTTCCCATATAAATAATTTACCGCTTCCAAATGTGGTGTACCTAGCGTAATTGTGCGTCAATTAGTTTTATTTAAAAAAGAAAATTGTTTAGGGTGCTGAAAAAAATTCAATGTCAATTTATTAGAAAACTATTGAAGCTATCATAATTTAATTAACGCCGATCGATTGCGCGACATTCATACTTGAATTCTTAAAGACAGGTATAATATTATGATAAGTGAAATTTAAACCTATACTATTGCAAATAATACGTAGATAAATTGTAATTGATATTTCTAATTTGCGTGCGCAAACTTAAACTAGAGATTAAATAAATATTTAGTCTATGATAATGTTTATGGTTCGTCATTTAACACCTATAGTTTTACTTCTGTGATATGAAAACAACTATCTATGAATGTAATTTAACAATACTCTATGATCTTAGCATTACAATCTATGAATGTAATCTTATCTATGATCTTATCTACTTCTATAAACTTTGTCTATTATCTGTGGCTGCAGGTTGTACCATCTATTACCATTTGTATATCTATTCTCTATGGGTTGTACCCATTTGTAGCTTTTATGTTTGTGTGCAAGTTTGATAGATAGTGAAAACTAGTTTATCTGTGTTTAATTATAATTATCAGCTCACTCAGCACAAAAAATAGATTTTATATAGTTTTTTGATAACAAAAGTACTGGGTCATTTTTTACATTAGTTGACATTGGAATTGAGACATGAAGTTTAGTCAGGTAGGTAGTACTCACTAAGTAGAATCGTGTGGTAGCATTAATTCCGTGCGGAAACCAATGGAGCTTGAGATACAGGCTCCTAAAGTTATTTAATCGGAAGAAATTTCGATTGGTACGGCCCTGGCTGCAGCCCTTCGTCAGCTGTTCTCGCCAAATATGCATTGATGACGTCATTGTTTAGTTAGGTAGATGTATGACAGACTCGAGTTTGTTTAATGCCCCTGCCCGCCGAAGGCGGGCTGATACATTAGAATAATGTTAGGAAGATATGTTTTAGGACAAACGATGTTTGGCGGGAACAGCTGACGGAAGGCTGAAGCCAGGGCCGTACCTACCGGAATTTCCTCCGATTAAGAAAACTTTAAGGGCCTGTATCTCACTCACATTCATTTTTAAACAAATAATAAACAAAATTCTAGTAAATACTACTACACTACTTTACTTGGTGAGTACTACCTACCTGACTAAACTTCATGTCTCAATTCCAATGTCAACTAAT